TGTGTCACAGTCATTCGGCGTGTGCCGGCGACTGAGTGGGGGGGAAAAAAAAGCTTTAAAATGATTGGCTGGCTGAGTTGCTGCCTTGTGAAGCTCACAGACGCCTTTCTTCTCTGTGAGTGTGATGCGCACATGACCAACGTTTCGCGTCCTCTTGAGGTTAAACTTGAATCATAGTTGAGTTTTTAAACAGGTTGTGCGCTGTAGTTTGCCCTGGATAGATTTTAAAGAAAATATATATATATTTTTATTAGCTCTAGATCATTGTGTAAAAGTTGGCAACAATATTATCTATAAGCGTATATTAAGTCGTAATAAAAGTATCCCTTTCCCTGAACTTTTATTTTAAGCCACCAATATAAATTGAAATACCTACCTGCATTAACACCGGAACATTTTGGGGCCTAAAGTGTATGTGGCAAAACACTGCCATCCTGTGTCTGTATGTATGATGATCTGCAAACCAGACAGCAGAACAAGCCACCCCTACACAGCTCTTGGTTTGCTGGCTATGAGAAACAATAAACACACCCCCTCCCTTCCAACATCAACAATAAAATGACTTGAAAGATCGTTCCCATGTTTGTTTTTTTCATTACCCTGGCACAAAAAACAGATAAGTGACGTGCAGTAACTAATGTCGCATTCTCTCACATGCACAAGTGGCCTGAGGCAGGCTCTGTTGCCTGACAGCAATGTCATGTGAGTGCATGCATATTGCTCAAGTGATGCTATCTGATTAATATTTCATTCTGGCGCTGACGCCTTGTTCTTTGAGGAATCTTGATAGGCCTCTTGAGGAGCTAAGGGAACAGGGTGATCACAGTTCTGATGAATGAGAAGGTCTCCCTGCTGCAAAGACCTGGGCAAACACATACTGGATTAATGATGGGACTTGTTCTGCTACCCAATTTAGATAGTAATCTAAATTGAAGTTTAAAAGCCTCTGAAATTGCTCTTGAGAGCCTGTAAGGGATAGACTAAAGTGAGGGGATTTTATCAGAAACCTATTCTAACAGGCATCTCAGTGCTTTTCCTGTTGCTGAGCTGCAAAACCCTGAGAGCAGTTTGCGTTCTCGCCTTCTAGGAAACAAAAAAGGGGACATTTGCCTGCTTCTTTAACTGTCCATGATATATCTACACCTCAGCATTTATTCGCTCACTGTCTTATCGTTTGAGTTATAAGTGTGCATTGGCAATATGATTAATTGAAGAGGAAAGGTCAGGACAGCTTACAGTATGTCAAAGAAAGTTCTATCCATAATAGTATGCACCTTTGTACGTAGTGTGCATGCTGTATACAGGAGAATCTGGCTAAAAGAAGGACATACAGTACCTCCCACGCCTATCATACAGTTTACTTCACTTAAAGTGAATTTATTCTTCAATGGCTTCTACCCATAAGCAGTGCGATTGGCGAACACATTTGGCCATGCCCCTACACCATCTGCCTCATTATAATTTCTTATTTATTGTACATCTGCTGTCATTGTTTACAAGACAGCATTGTTTACATTCAAGCTGTTTACTTGTTTACTTGTACATTGTCTACTGTTTGTTTGTGTATTGTCTTGATGCGCTGTCTGCACTTTGTGTTTTTACACTTTTTTAACAACCGAGAGACTTTCTGTAAGTAAGAATTCCATTGTACCAGTAAAGTACAGGTTACATATGGCAGTAAAGTTCAAGTTCAAGTGGGCCTGGGTCTGTGTTCACTTTTAGATGCAGCAATGGTGTGCTAAGAGATGCATACTGGAAGATCAGTGAGAACAGTACTAGGGTGACCTGCAGCAATGAAGTGTGTCAGTGTATACCTCTTTTGTTCATACAAACGTCTCTTCGAGGAGGGTGCACAGAGACTCACATAAGGGTGAAAGATCCAAACAACACACAAAGGAGAAGTATGGCAGGCTGTGTGTGGTGCTGCGCTATGTTCCATGCAGATTCCATGCCAGGCTCTTGTGTGGTATTTCAGCATTTTGGAATTTGATATTGTTGGGTTTGTAAATCCATGACTTGCTACAACCACTGACAATTTTTTTTATATCATTCGGCAGCTGGCAAAGGTCAGTGGGTATAGCCTTGTTTGGAGGGGGGGAGAGCAGGGCACACTCTTTTACTTTGTCTCCCATTGTGAAACCTCATCACAACAATAGATCTGCATCGGCTTCAATGGCTGGGTAGCTTGTTCCATACACCCACAACTCTTTATGCAAAGAAGTGCCTCCCGTTCTCGGTTTTAAAGGCATTTCGACATTGTTTCTACTTGTGTCCTCTCGTTCATGTTTCACGATTCCGAAGAATGTTGGGCTGACTTTATTAATGAATTTGAGGATTCTGAATACTGGGATAAAATCCCTTTGTAGTCTTCTCTTTTCAGGACAAGATTCAGTTCCTTCCGCCTGTCAGTTCAGGGCCTATACTGCACTAGTCCCTTGGGCAAATACATTTTCCATCTCTTCAGTATTAGGGAATATCAGATCACAGACAGCTGAAAAAGCAAGGATTCCTGTAAATTGCCCAAGATAAAGGGATGGCATTCTCAACTGAAGAAGAGCTGCTGTACACTCCATTAAAAAAAAAACATTCAGATTTATAGTCTTGTCTCCACAAAGTCCAGAATACCTTGCTTTTGGAAATGATTCCAGTATTTTTACAGCTTAAGAGGATTAATATAACCCAGTGTGAACAAAAGCACGGCTCTTCAAAATGAGATTAATGTGACCGCTAAGAAGGCAGTGAGGCCAATAAATGTAAGTGCAAATTTCCCCTAGGACTATATAGGAAATTCATTCCTCCCAGGTTCTGAAAGACTTCACTTCACAACTTTTGCTGGATAGTTCAGATTGATTCCAATTGAAACTAGTAAATGTTGTCGCCAGTTGACATCAGACGAAAGTAACAAAAACATTCCTGGAAAATTCTCGATTTGCAGAAAATCCAGATCGAACTCTTTCTGATCCGAGTATGTCTCCGACACCTTTAGCTCAAGAGGAAGAAAACTGGAGCGTACCGCCAGAGATGGTCAAATCCAACTGGGCTTTTTTCGAAGGCTGACACAGGCTGTCTTTACTGTAAAACTGTTTGGTTTTTTTTTACGCATCCTGCAAGTCCCTCCAGGAAAGTGATGATTGGGTGTCTAGTTAAAAATGATAGACCCCTCACGCACACTTGCAAGACTTAAGGTCTCACTTGGTTTCTTGTAAGAGCAGTTTGGGAAAACTAATAGCTTGGTGCTTTGTTCATTTTTCAACAGACAGCACTTATTCCTGCAAAACTGGCTGATGACAGATGTCTGCAAGGAACGAGGAGCATTGCTGAATTTCATCCTATTCTCTGCGGGCCTGTGTTCTGCTGAATTCAAGGTGACATGTCAGCACAATATCAAGAACCACAGAAGTTTAAAAGTATTGACGGACTAAAGGTAGATGCACAGTCCAGGCAACGTTTCCTCTCATTTTTAATGGCCTGTGTGCGCAAACATTTCAAATTGTGCACATTTTTCCCCGGTGACAAAACCTTGTGCGCACTAAATTGAGTGTATGTGAAATTGTAAACCTGAAATTATTTTTTGTTAATATAGTCATCCTCATAGAAGCATAGAGATCCAAAGGACTGGGACAGCGACTCAACGAGCCCAGTCACAGAGACTGAGTGTCGAGCAGGGAGGTACGAGACTACGAGAGCAGAGATATCGATGATCGAGTAGCAATAATAATGCACACAGCCAAGTTGGGCCTCTCTCAGCCAGTCTTGTGATCAATTTGGCATTTTTCAATTGACAACCGTGTTTGTTTTATCATCATCATATTTATTTGGAATTGAATTTTTTGTGCGCAGTTCAATTTCCTATGTCCGCTGATTTCAGAACCTGTGTGCACGCACACACGCACAGCTTAGAGGGAACATTGAGTCCAGGGTGCCTTATTCAAAATGTTAAAAAACTGTTAAAATGTTAAAAGGCTTAGCAAGCTCAAGGATATTAATTATTGTCATTCTAATGTCTTAGAATGTCTTCTTTTGGCATTCACCAAGAAAACTCCCCCAGTCCTGTCCTCTTCAGTTGAGTTGAATGCTTTGTATTCATGCCGTAACGCATTTTAACATGCCATCCTCTTTTTAAATCTTCTCCACAGGCTGGCAAATAGAAATGCAGGCCCTGAGACGGGTTTGAGATTTTTAAATAGAAGAGGTGATATCTGCAGCATGGTTTACTCATGAAGGGTTACTAAGTAAAACCTTTCCACATGGGGCTTAAAAAGGGTTTTGATTATAATGAATTAATGTGGAAATACGTAAGGCTGAAATATTAAAACCTAGTGCAAAACAGGAACTGCTATAAGAAATAAAGAGACAAAAGAGATAATCTCATATATAACTATATATCTCATAAATAACCCCATAATCTGATTGGCTCCCGAGCTTCCTATAAATTCTCTGACATGAGAACATAACTGAGTCACGATTTTCATGAAGTACTGGCATCCTCCTCTGTACGCAGAGCTATTTAAATATTCAGTACATCCAAAACAGAGAGTTGTATTTTTAAAAGATGTTGTAAAAATAAACAAGTAAACAACTTCTATTTGTAAACTTCATACCAGTTTTAACGCTGGCTGTCTGGATTGATTGTCTCTCCAAGTAACCATGCAAATGGCAGTAGAAATGTGGCTCCGCTGTGTCCATTTACATCAGGGGTCCCCGGTTCTGGAGACCCCCACAACTGCTGGTTTTCATTGCAGCCGGCCTCTTTACTCAAGAGGTTGCTTGGTTAGAACCTTTGCAAAAAAATATTCTACTCCGAGGTTGGAGATTTTAACTTTCTGAAGAAATGCACTAGTTAAAAGGTAGCCTCTGACAAGTTAAACCCATATTATGTCTATAAAGAGTTCAATAAGTTTGATTGCTCAGGTAAAACAAAAAACCATCATTGCACATTTACATTGATAATATAACCAGACCCCGAATTATAACACAGCACACATGACATTGCGAAGATCAAATTTCCATTATTTTTTCATTTATTTAAAAAAAAACCCTGTAATTAAAAGGCTTTTTATCTGAATCGTCCAGGCCCTTTTAACCTTAGCTTCAAGACTAACAGCATTTTATAGTCCTTGTTTTTCCTTTTATTGAATGGATTCTATTGCAGTATCCCACTCAGACACAGGTCATGTGGTTTCACTGTTTAAAAAGAGTCATCACCAGGAACAAGAGAAACAGATGATCTGACTGTACAGCTTTATATTAAGAGTCTTTAGTTCTTGTATGAAGTGAACTGGAACAGAAAACAGATGTACATTTTTCCCCATGATGCACATTTCTCTCTGGCTTTGTCTAATATGGTTGTCATGATAATATTTTGCAGACTGCAGCAGTATATCTGAGAGCGGGGAAGGATATCTGTGTTGCACAGATTTAAAGTTTTAATGCCTCTGGATCTCAAAGCATTGTGTTACGCTAAAACGCTTCCCTAAACGCAATCGAGAGCGAGCAATTTTCACACTTAAGGTACGTGAAACAGGCAACACAAATAAAAAGACACCTTCTTTCTCCTCGAGAACAGAAAATATCACAATGGCTTATGTTTTTTAAATGACCATATAACATACAATTTATACATTGTAGTTGAAATGTCCCTTTATACTATAATATGGAATGTCACAGCTTTGAGTATGACATTTAATTTAATACTATGCTGGAGTAATGGACCCATCCACTGTCTTACAGCTAAAGCTTTTGAAGTCTTTTTTTTCCCCATTCGCTGAAGACGACAGACTTTCTAGTTTGGTACAAATGATCTTTTTCTTGGGTTTTTCTCCTTCTCCTTTAAGTCTGTACAATTTAAGCACTATCGTAAGGACCATGTAACTAGTCTGAAGGATAAAAAACGGACTTGCTTTATGCATAGGAATTGCCATTTCATTTATATTTCTACACCATGAACAAATGCCAGTTTTCTGGATGAATATATGTTTAATTTACATAGCGGTGCTTCTCAAGTGGTTCCCTTCCTATATGTAAAGTGCTTTGGAATTCTTTGGAAAGCAAAGCCTTATCTTTATAAATCGAGGACAGTGCTTTCTTAACTCTGGTCATCTGAAGACCATACTGCCAATTAGTGGTCGCTTTGCATATGTGAAGTCAACAGCAGGTTCATTTGTGATGCTGAACTCAAGGCACTCCTTTTTAATGCTACTAATCCTAGTACATAAAATGATGGCACTGTAATATTACAAAATAGATCACAAAACAGGAAACGTTTCAACCTGTGCTTTCTTCTATACTGCCAGTGGTGTACAGGTACATTAAAGACTCTCAGCCAGCGGTTTTGTTTTGAGCAGACTGAACTGACAAGAGTTGCCAGATGTTTGCCCTGCGTCACAGGGTGAAGACATGGTGTGTGGAAGAAGTGTGTTCCTGCTGGGCTCGTTTTGTCTGCTTGGCAAGGGGACGGGACTGAACGGTTCTTATTCTGCCCTTTGCTAACCAACAGTGAAGGAAGTGTCTCGTGACTCGGTTATAGGATTGGAGTGGGAGGAGGGATCTACTCCCCAGATTTGAGCCTGGCACACAGCCCAGACCCTGGACTAGAAGAGAACCCTGTGGTAGGTCAGTGGTTGCCAGGAAAGCATGTATCCAAGAGCCATATCAGGCGGTCTCTTGTCCCACTTAATGAAGTATCCACGACATGACATTTTCAGGATCAGCTCAAGGCACATGGTTAACATGTGCAGCTATCCACAGACTGCGTTTGGCCATAATTTTTTAATTTTTTCACCCTAGTGTGGTGTATTCGTCGATTTCACCCCCTTACATTAATTTGTCCTTATCGCTAGGTTGTACTCTCTATAAGAAGCCCTCTCAAAATACAAACCCTCTCAAACGTCTGATTCTTTTCACACACTACACCTTCGTTAAACTTTAAAGTGATCATTCCTATATGGCTCATTTGGTTCGTGTTTAAAAAACTGTACAGTAGGTTTACAATGGGCCTCCTCCATCCTTTTTCAATATTAACCAATGTCTTCTCGGATGGGTGCTGTCCAGACTCATCACTGCTCAGCAGAATCACAAGTCCCACAGAATGATAATTAAATCCACATCACGGGCCACCCCTTGTGGTGGAGTCACGGCCCTCTGCTCTCTAGAAGAAGAGTGCCCCCTAGTGCCAGCGCTGATCTCCAACGAAGCAGTGCAGCTCCATTCTGGGGGCAGGGAGTGGTTATTTCTCCCAGACCTGCTCCCCTGCGATGTACGTAGCTTTGACGTCTAGGCTGTCGTCCAGCAGGACAAAATCTGCCACGGGGTGAGAGATAGAAAAGTTAGAGCTTTCATTTTTCACCAGCCTGCAACAACCCAGATGTTTATCTTTCATCTTTAATTCAGCTTTCATCCCAGATACTGAATTATTGGTTAAAGCCCTGCTTTCTTCTCCTATGGCAAGCTATTTATCCCTCATCCCTTATTTTTAATTTTCATTCTAAAATATCCCCCCCCCACGCACAATGGCTATTCATTCTTTGCTATAAATAAATTATGAAATTATATATAGTGTAAACTAAAAAAATAACCTAAGATGAAGCAAAAACGGACCTTTCTTGAATCAATCTTCACATTTACATATACAAACGCAAAACAAAACACAAACTGGGCAGCAGGGCAGTGTGCGCCACACACTGCCGCCTCACAGCTCTTGTGTCCTCCGTTTGATGCCCGGCTGGGTGACCTTCTGAGTGGAGTTCGTATGTTCCGCCCGCTGCTTTCGTGTGAGTGTGTGAGCCAGGCAATGAACAGGTGTAGCCCCTGGTCCTTTCTGCTGTGCCCTTTATCAGTGCAAAGCCGTTTGAAGACAATCGCTGGACTGAATACATATGATCATTGTCCTCACTTTGGCTCAGAACTTCCTTTGTCTCTCAAGCTCACATCTTTATCTTGATTTTAACCAGAAGCCCCAACAAGAAACAATGCAAGAGAGTTGAATACATTTCCCCCTGCCTCCCTCCCCCCCACTGGCCTCCCAGTCCTCTCCAGACCTCACTACAATCAGCCGGACCTACGCCAGTCTTTCACTGATCCCATCTGCAGCTTGGCTTCAGATCTCCACGGTACTTCAGCTCAGAAAGTCTGATAGGTTATACACCTTCTTCACCACTTATACAGCTGCTTTCTGCATCAGCAGTAAGGAGCAGAGTATCCTACCCGCTCACCTGCATCTGCACCGTAGTCCAGTGTGCCCTTCTGCTGGCTGATGCCCAGCAGCTGGGCTGGGTGGAGGGACGCTGCTTCCAGTGCCGCCTCTACAGTGCAGCCTGGAGAGGATGGAGAAGGCAGGCTGGTTACAGGGAGACACAGCTGGGCAGAAGCCCAAGTGTGTACCACGTCTGAAGGCAGAACGGAGGAGAAGGCCAATACTGGACAGGACTTACAAGTGGCTCCCAGGTTATTATATACTGCTGTGCAAACGTCCTGGGACATTCTGCACTGTCCTGCTCAATGGTTTTTCCTCCTTTGGGCAGAAACAGTTCTGCGACAGCCCTCTGCTGAAATGGAAGTGGTTTTGTCTCACCCCAGCAGTTAACCCTGCGTTTTGCCTTTTTCGATTCTGTATTCGATCGGGCTGCAATTTGTTTCAAAAAACCTGTAGAGCCTGCTCCACTTCCACCAGGTCCCTGCTGCTTGCCCAACAGGCTACCCTGTGGGGGTGACCCAGTATTGTGGCCAGCGGGTGTACAAGAGACAGAGGCAAACGGAGAATAGGCTCTCACCACTGGCCTGCAGGAAATGCCTGACACACATGTCCATAGTGGCAATGCTGCCACTCAGGGTCTTGGTTCCTGAGGGAGACAAGCGGAGAAGAATGTCAGAGAGCTGTCAGCAGGGGGCGACACCCCAGACTCTGGGAAGCTTTGTGTTCACATAACATTTAAACGTAACACAGCAAAACCCCAAATCAACCTAGAATTTTATCTGCAGAGGACCCCAAAACTACTTGTTTCATTTTGTTTGTGAATTTTAACACTATGAGTTTTTCATTCCTATCTTATTTAGTATGGAAGGAATACAAACACACTTTGTGTGGCACCAGAGGAACAATGCAAGTTCAGGCTCAGATTTTTTTTGGAGACAATTTAGACTTCAGAAAATACATTTCACTTGTTCGGTATGTTGGTTACCCATTATTTTGATTTGGCAGTGATGAATATTTTCTTAAATTCCCTTAGCACCAAAAAAAAAAAAAAAAACAGTCTGTAGAGAGATAGCAACAGGCTGGCTTTCAAGTTTTTTTGCTGTGAAGGAAACCACATGGTCCCGATTTCCTTACAGCAGTTCCAAAAGCTTAAAGTTTAAACGCACACACCTTCCAAGCGAGCCTGAAGTTAGGGCAAAGGATAACTTTGAGGCATTGCATCCAGGAAATTACGTTTTGGAACTTTGATACGCAGAAATAAATGGGAGATATTCTGGCAAAATAATTTGCTTTGAGCAAAAAAGATCTTTGAAAGACACCCCGAGTTGTGGCAGTCAGGAACAAGCTACCGAGCCATGTTGCTGAAGCGGATACCCTGGCTTCTTTGAAGAAGAGGCTGGATGATATCCTTGGTCCAATTAGCTGCCAACTACTACATGGGTTAGATGGGCAGGATGACCTCCTCTCATGTGTAACTGCTCTGATGTAAATAGCACAACGTACGGACCAATCAGTAAAGAAACAAACAAGGAGATCCAGACCTGCAACGTAGGCGTTGAGCCCCTCAATCTCGATGACCTGCTGCCCCAGAGTGTGACGCCCGGGGGGCAGCCCCATAGCAGTGATGGCATCAGTCACCAGCACCAGGCCTGAGGGGAAACAGCAGCACAGGTCAATGGCGCCCTCTCACGGATCTCCAGCAGGGCAAGGAACTCCTGTGCCAAGAGAGCGCTCTTTTTCACCTTTGATCTCTCGTCGGGCGAGCTCTTCTCATTCATCAAAGACTGTACCGCATCTGAATTACACAAACGGGGCGGACGTCTTCTCTTCTCTCGCTCGTGGGAGAACTAAAACCGACTGCACCGAAGTGCTGCTTCGGTGCCGGTTCAGAAACGTCACGCTGACTTCGTTCACCTTCGTTCTAAGCCCCCTCCCGGGAAACGCGACGGGAGCTTACCTGCTGGGTGGGCGCGGTGGGCGATGCGCAAGGCAGCGGGGTTCGTATGGATGCCATCTGCGATCATGCCATAGAAGACAGTGCGCCCGGTAGGCACACGATCGCTAGTCAGGAGGCCTACGATGCCCGGGTCCCTGTGATGGAACTGAACAGACGACACACTGCCTGTCATTACATGAGCTCGCCACAGTATGGCACTGTACGCACAATATAAAAAAGTTTCCCGCAGCTTATTGTTCATTTCTCTAGGGCTTTTATCCTAACATCCACACCATTACATCTATAGGATTTACACAGATATTACACCGAAACTAACTGAGTGAAGTATCTTGCTTAAGGGAGCAACAACGGTGCCCTACCTGGGATTCGAACCCGCAACCTCCCAGCTGTGAGCCCAGAGCCCAGACCACTGCTGCAGCACTAGCTACCACATCAACACCTTTTCTGTGGTTTTCCAGATCTTACTTTGCACCACAAATGAAATTCCATTACACTTGGGCTTCAGTTTGACCAATGGGTTCAATTTAGAACAGACAGAGGAAGCAGGCTCTGAGGCTTTAAATTGGCTGGGAGCAGGGGTGGTCAAACGGTCATTTCTTACTTCACATCGTACGTGTCCAGTGCTTATTGTGCTGTTGCTTCAGGACTCAAGGTCAACCTACTATTATTGTAAAAAAAAAAAAAAAAAGCAGCTGAACCCCTGAGCTGAACAAGCTTGTCGGAAAGTATTTTTACTGTACGTTTGCCGTCTGGTTTCCAATGCGTTACCATTGCTAGGTGGGTACAGCAGCCAGCCTTGAGAAAAAAAACGCTTTCAGGAACTGCTGCTGGACTCCGAATTGAGACGGAGGAGAGGGGCGAGTAACGATCCAGAGCCGAGGAATAGCCGGAGGGAGGGTGAGGGACTCACGGGCAGCATGGCGTTGAAGAGGTGAGTGATGAAGGTCGCGCCCTCTCGCACTGCCTCCTCCGCCTGGGACAGATTGGCAACGGAGTGTCCTGGGACGCAAGGGGGAACCAGGGGAATTCAGACGCTGCACAATAGCTCCAGGAGGGTTTTCGGTTAAAAAAAAAAAATGGATTCAACCAGGAGATCTGCAACCCTGTCTTGGAGAGCCGCAGGATCAACTCCCGAGTGATCTCACTGGACCAATTATGTGGTTAACGAGTTAGAGTGCTTTCTAGGCTTCTCCTCATTGATCACTTAATGCTCTTAATACACCCCTGCAGGGCTCTCTCCCACCAGGGCCAGGCTGGTAGGCCGCCTGTCCCCTCCAAAGCCTCCGACGTCAGGCTGCTGTAAGGAGACCCCCCAGTTTCTTATACTTTG